CTGGATAGAGGTAAAAAAAATTAGGATGTTCTGGATTAATGTAGCAGATTCCCACAATATATATATATATAGAAATAAAACTATTTTCTCTTCTTGCCTCAAAACTTCACTGAAAGCATCCTTAGCAAAATTAGGTCCAAGAAATTCAGTGAGTTTACAGGAAAAAGCACATTGATTCACACTGATATTTTGTAAATAAATTACAAACCAAACTGTCAGACACTTTGCTTACATTGTAAAAATATATTACAAATATACTGTATAAACTCATCTATATTAGTGATTTGTGAATTGCACATTATGCAAGATCCAAGTGTCTATTTAAATACTCGATTCATGTACAAAATATTCTCTTATTATTAAAACAAACATAACAAAAAAAGACTATGTAAAAACTAAATAAAACTGTAGCTGTAAAAATGTTTTGTGTATATAGTCCTATATAATACTCATAATCAACATTAAAATAACAATGCCAATAGCTATACACCATAGACCAAGACTGCAATAAGTTTGTTTTATTACCCTCTGGCATAAAAATTATACTCTTAGGGGTACAAAGAAACTCAAAAGTTTCACATCATGAATAAGAAATGTACAAACACACAGTGAAGCAACGGCTTTTTAATAAATTCAGAGATATAAACATGTTTGTTTCAAGGACAAAACTGCACAATGGGCTACTTGCACTGTGCCCATGTTAGGGATCAAACTTAAATGTTAGTGCTATAAGCCATCACTTACTGTTTTGCCAACTATGAGGATTTGCAAAAAAATTTCCATAAAAATTATAAAGCATTGTAATTGTGCAAGATAATTACAAATATTAATTGTGAAATACAACAGATAGCTTTTTCAAATTATGTATTATATACTATTAACCATAAAAATTCTAAAATATCTGTAAAAAGAAGCTCAAAGATGTAAGATATATATTTCTAAATCAAAAACTAATTTGCCATAAAAAGGTTAAAATATGGTTCTAATAAAATCTATAAAACTTACCACACACAGTCCAAGGTAGAGTGACACAAGTACCCAACAAAGAACGACTGACATGAGCCCAACAACAGAGAAACTAAAAAGCAAAAAGGATACTTTCAAGTAAGAAAATTTGACTAATATATTAATCCTACATTTGTAGCTTTTGTTTAAATTCAAAGCTTGACTAGCCTTTAAAGAGACTCAGCAGAATCAGACAAAGTGTACACACACAAACTGGTAACCCTATTTACTGTGAAAATGGTTTACAATCCTAGTAAAAAATGAAATTTTAACTATTTTACTATAAAACTTGTGAAAGAAAGATGTCACACCAGTTATACTAAACACTTAAGTAACAAACTCAAAGTAATTACATTTAGAGATAGATATTTCTTCCAATAACAAATGTGTTCTTATAGAAATGAAACAATTATGCTATCTTACAATTATTTTCTCAGCCAATGCTGTTGAAGAGTGGTATCTCTGAACCAAGAATGAAGTTCTAACTTACTTCAAAATAACTTTAAAAGTTACACATCACAGAATAGCAGGAAATAAACTGGAAAAACCTTACAATTTCTACACAATATTTGGTTATGTATACTGTCCAAAAAATCAATGACCACATTCAGCACAAGATAAGACATTTTTTTTTATTAGGTTTATCTACTCATGGGGTGAAATTAATGGGAGTTGCCGAGTCCATAACTCCCAGTATTTTTCTCAGACCCCAAAGTCTCTCTGAAAAGAAGAGCCCATCACACTTATAAAACTTCTGATAATATATCAATTTCACAAGCACATAACACCTAACAATGTTTTGACTTAACAACTAAATATAATGATGGGAGTAATTTTTTGTCCGAAGCAACTCTGCATTAATATGCATTTGTTCTGCTTGTACACAACTCACAAATTTAAGAGTTTAGCCTATTGGTCATTGGTTACACAATTAGCCAGTTATACTTATTGATTTACCAGTTTTTCATAATAGTTAACAGATTACTTGAAAAAAATAATAATTAATAACATGCATTATTAAAAGAAAGAAATAATAGTGTTGAAAAATCCTTAACCTAATCTTGATGAATCACATAAAAGTTTTTTTTTTCATTTCAGTAGATATTAACACTTGTTTGTTGGATGAAGTTTTCACTTGTTGCCCATCTCAGGCATGATGAATTGATCATAGCTTGAGATGCAGTGATGTAGCTAGTTGATGGTTCAGCTTAGGTTGTAGGTTACGAATTAAGAGTGCTTCCTTTTTTCTTAACATACATTCATCTTTTGCAAAGTCTATTATTCTGAAGTGTTCACTGTTCAGATTTTTGTTACAGTCTTTGCTTAGGTGGTTTTAAATTTCAGAGTTACTGAAAGGGCTGTTATGCAAATGCTCCTTGATTCTGGTAGCTAGGGTTCAAGTCAATAGAGACTTGTCTGCAGCAAGAATACAAATATTTGTATACTACCAGTGATTTTTTTGAAGGGTGTATTTTGTCTTTAAACAGGAAAAAAATTGTGTATCCATTTGTTTGGTTTGAAGATTTCTCTTAGGCTGACTTGGGGGGTAAGTTGATTGCAGAACGATTTTGATTTTACTTTTTAGTTTGGTGCCATGGGAACCAGTGAAGGGTAAAACCAAGTTGATAGGACATTTAGAAACGTTGGAATTTTGGGGTTGTAAACCTTATCGATATGTTCAAAAATACTTTTGTTGATGAGTGCTAGAAGAAATGCATCTTTTAATATTGATAAGTTCATCATGAAAATAACCATAAGAGCTGGTAAGTATATATGCTCTATGAACTAAAGAAGTTATTAATTTGGTTTTGTAACAGTCAGGTATAAATGTGCTGAAATGACAGTACAGGCCAGAAAATGTTGGTTTGTAGTAGTACTTAGTTTTGAACCTGTTGTTCCAGTTGATGACTTCTAGATCTAAAAAAGGGAACACAGATTCTTTTTGCTTTTCAACTGTGAACTCGATATTCATGTACTTTGAATTTAAATTATCTTGAAACTTTTTGACATGGTTTGACTTTGTCATAAACGTATCTCTTATAAAGTAAAGGTTTAAATTGGGACAGACATGACTCTAACCAGTTGGTTTCATGATAAGACAAGAACAAATTAGCTAGCATGGGAGTAAGTTACGAGCTCATGGCTACACCGTCAGTTTGATCATATGTCTTATTATTAAACACAAAATGATATTCTATGGTTATAATTTCAAGTAATTTCATGAATTGATTTTTAGTTAAGCCATTGACTCTAGTGTTATCAGGAAATACTAAATTACAAACTAAAATTTTCTCTAATTTACAACCACCTGAGCAAAGACTAACAAAAACCCGAACAGTGAACACTTCATAATAATAGCCTGAGTGAAAGATGAATGAATGCTAAGAAAAAAGGAATCACTCCTAATTTGTAACCCAAACCTATGTTGAACAATCTACTAGCTACATCACTGTATCTCAAACCATAATCAACTCATCGTGCCTGAGATGGGCAAAAAGTGAAAACTTCATCTAATTTTGATGGGTTACAACCTAAATTTATGTAAAATTACACTTTATACAATGTTTTTTATACTTTTAAATTTCTTAATCATTTTAATGTTTTTTTACACTGATAATGATGAAACATCAGCAATTAGATTTTTAAGTATTACCCTGTTTTTAACATTTCTTACAAAAACTTTGATTTTCACCTTATGAATCATTTTAAGCTCTGCAGAGATGTCACCTAGTATAATCAAAAGTTTTCTCACAAGACAGGAAACATTGTACTCTCTCTGTTCATATCGTTAAATACATTTAAAATGGTCAAAATATAATTTCTGAGTATACATATGGAACAAAACTGAAATAATAAAGAGAAAGTTTAATTAGTGTCTTGTTCATATGGCATGCATCCAAATGTTACATAGTTTTCCCTTTCTGTATTGCTGACTTAGATTATTTGGTGTACTCCCAAACTCTTAACATGTGTTAAAGCCCTGATAGCTCTCTTCATCCAATTACATGCCCTGCTACAGATAAACTCAGACTAATTATTAAAAATTTTACTTCAAAAAAGTAATGAATGTGAACGAGCAATTTTAAGATGTTGTGTGGATATTTCACAATCTTTTAATACACGAAATTACAATACACCAGAAAATTTTCAATACTAAAATAAGTGTCTGTGAAAAAGATTCAATGACTTCACTAGTCCTACACAACATAAACAAAATACATCATTTTACAGCTACAATTTGTATTGCATTTTATAGTGGTGAAAATGTCTTATTATAGTATTTAATTTCATACTTACAAGATAAGAAAACACCGAGAATGTCTTATGATTCCCCACAGTAGAATGAAACAGAAAAAAATCAAAACACATAGAAGAGAAATGGTGACTGGCCATCTAAAAAAGATTCAACCATGAAATAAATAAATAAATATATATATATATATATA